GAGATACCACCTCCTCGGCAATGTCGTGGCTCTTTTGGCTGCTTTCTAAGCATCAAAATGTAGAGAACATGATAGTGAAAGAAGTGGAATCAATGCTTTGCGATGGCGAAAACCAATTGAATTTTGAAGTGCTGAAGGAAATGAATTGTGTTAAAGCTTGTTTATGTGAGTCCATGAGGCTTTACCCTCCGGTGGCATGGGACTCCAAGCACGCCTTAAACGACGACGTTCTTCCCGACGGGACTTTCGTTGAGAAAGGAGACAGGGTGACCTATTTCCCCTATGGAATGGGGAGGATGGAGGAGCTATGGGGAAAGGACCGATTCGAGTTCAAACCGGACCGGTGGTTCCAGGAATCGGATGCAGAAAATGGGTTGCTAAAGTCGGTGAGCCCTTTCAAGTTTCCAGTGTTTCAGGCTGGTCCAAGGGTTTGCCTTGGGAAAGAAATGGCGTTTATTCAGATGAAGTATGTGGTGGCTTCAATTCTGAGACGGTTCGAAATTAGACCGGTCTGCCAAGAGCAGCCGGTTTTTGTTCCTCTCTTAACCGCCCATATGGCCGGTGGCCTCAATGTGCTGGTAAGGAGAAGGGCGTCGTAGTAGTGAGAAAGTGGCCCAATGAATGTACTCCTTCCTATGTATTCTCTATGAGTATATGATTCTGATTTATTATTTCTATCAACTCTTGCATTATTTGGAATTTCAATCCCAAAATTGTTTTTTTTTTAATTTATTTTTCTCATCATTTCATGTGCATACCTTGTGTCACTTGTAGCTTGATAGTTTCGGGTAAATTTCTAATTTTAGTAAAATAGGCAGTAGCTTTTTGTTGTACTATTAAAATATTGGATCAAACCTTTTTATTATTATTATTATTAATTTCTTGATCAATCGAATTACGAGGAGAACTTAAGTAAGATTTTTATCTACATTTTCTCAAATTTTGTAATGGAAATAAATTAAGTATTTCAATATAAAATTCAGACCTAAGCATTCATCTCTCTATATATAGGATCATACCAAAAACCTTATCCTTGAGAAAAAAAAAAGTCCATTTATTAGTTTTTGGATAAATTATGATTACTATATCAAATTATATCCATAATCTTTTGCTTCCTTAATTCTTAAAAGAATCTAACTTAAGGAATCCATATCAACACTCATTGAATAAGATGTTCTTTAATTATAAAAAAATGACAAAATTTGTGCATTAAATGAAATATCTATATATATATATATTTAAAATAACACCTTAATTATAAAGCCTGAGAATATAAGCCAAAGCAAAATGACATTGATGCCTATGCCTTCCACAGGCCTCATACCGGTCGGCAAGAAAGGGGTTAATTACAAACCAGGGGCTGAGTCCTGGGCAGATAGTAACCAGCAACCCCAGATTACTGTTCCATTTGCACGTACGTAAGTGTCTTTACCATTAATTTAAAATTAAACAAGCCTCGCCCACCCATAAATAAATGCAAGAATTATTGTGTGCTAGCTTAGCTCTAGCCTATACCATCAAATTAAAAACATGCAATATTAAGACTACCTTTTTGCTATGAGCTCTTAACTCTTTTTCACCAGACTTACATAAGAAACGTAATGCTTATTGCTTCCTTGCAATCTGGTGGTTGAATGGTTCACATGATCATTACATTTTACTTCCTTTTTAAAATTTTTCTTACTACCTTTTGTCTTTGCCTACAAATACAACAACACAATTCTTGAACATTATTCTTTAATTAATTAAATATAACTTTCTTTCATGTTTTATAACGTTCCCAAAGCTGCACAGTCCTTTAATTAATGATGCATGCATGCAAATAATATTATTCAAGATCGGACTGTCATGAATTGATGGGTTTGAAGCCATTATGAGTTGGTTCTGTTATTAATTTAATGGGTGATTCATGATTTAAAATTTTTAAAATAAATATACGATGGTTGAGAAAGAAGAAATGGAAATGTAAATTACTAACTTTGTACGGATGAGAAATGAAAAGGGAAAGAGTAAATTACTTATTGTAGTAATCCTTTTATTATTACAGTTTTATAAGTTAAAATAAAGGTAATCTTGTTTGCTCTACCTTTCTATTAAAATGTTTGCTAAACAAGGGACAGGGTGCCACTTGTTCCCTGCCCTTCAATTATTCAAACAATGCCTAAAATAGAATAATGAATCGTATTCATGGCATGACAAGACATTTCACGCAGGCCCTGCTGATTACGGAATCGGATGGGAAAACTACTGATACTGAACAAAAGTTTGCTACTCTATCATGTTGCTCTGTTCTGCCCTTTTAGCGCACATGACAAGATGTGGAGGGTCTAAGGGCAGGTCAGAGTCCCGTAGCTAGGAGATACACCACGAGATTCATATTCCTTATCTCCCATTAGCCATTAACCTTTTCCAGCTATAATTTATTGGAAATTTGATGTGCATTTATGGTGGTGAAGATTTCCGTGATCAAAACTCATACATATATATATGAGTATATCTTTTGATTGGGATTTGATAAAAGATTTGATGATGTGGTTGGTTTTGGATCCTTTCATTTTCAAAACGTGCATACAAACCCTCAATAAAACCTAATGCTGAAATTCCTAGCAAAGGTTATTATATAAAAATAAAACATGAGTGTGCACTGTACTGATAACTGACTTTGCTGGAACTGGAAGTTAAGAACAATTTGAAGTCATATAAAATAATCAGGATTGTCAGGCTAACATCTATATATATATATATATATATATATATATA